CCTCTCTTCTACCTCATTCCTCCATCATTTAAAAGGCTTGAGTGAGACGAAAAGGATAAAGACGACACCATTAGAAGGGAAAAAATATCACAACTCCGAGGCATGAGCAACTAACTGCCCTATATTTGAGCCACATTTAGCAGCACCAAGGCATTAGGAAAACCAACTTCTGGAAAAAAAAAAATGTGCTAAAGCAATGTTTGCCTAAAATAAGTAAGCTCATTTGACGTATGGAAGAAGACTTGTTTGAGAGGCGAAAACTCTAATCTTATGACCCTATGTAGGTAGAAAGAGCATATGTGAGACTTGTACTCACAAAGTGGCGAACATGCCGCGAGAGTGGAAAAGAGAGGAGATGTCCAGCTACAAAGCTGAAAACACTCTCAACAAAGGACTTACTCTCTGTTCTAGGGTTGGGGAAGCATCTACTACCCTAAATGCACTAGACAACTACCCAAGTAGAAATCAATGTTGGATCTGTCAGGTTTGAGAAGCACAGAGACATCTCATCAGGACATGAAAGTATGATGTAATTGTCTAATAAGTCTTAAACGTGGAGGCTCTATTAAGTATGACTTGGGCGAAAGCCATGCTATGGAACCCATTTAAAATCTAGCCTGAAGGTCTTGCAAAAAGTAAAAACATATTTTGAATAATCTTAAATGTTTTAATCCTAAATTTTAATAATTTAAATTTTTGTTTGGATTTTGTAGAAACTTTATAAATTTTTGGGTCCTAAAGAACTTAAGTGATTCACACGACTCTTAGACAATCCACAAGATAAAAAGGGCGAAGATGACAATCACATGCAAGAAGCAGAGAAGTAAAGCAAGACAAATCAAAAGAATAAGAAAGGTTGAGGCGTTCAGACACCACATAAGTACACCCACGGTCTTAATTCTATAAATCAAAGAAATTTAGAAGTAAGGTATGGGACATGAACAAACAGCTCTTGGTCCCTATCACATGATTCAACACGTCTGACGCCTCACAACCTGTGAGTGTACCTTATTTCTAATACAAACTCTCCTAGGGAGTCTAAAAAATACATAGGAAAGCAAGAAAAAAAAAAGGACTCGGTCTGCATGAAAATAAGGTTTGTATAAAGCTACCTACATGCAATGTCGTGAGCCATGCCCCATAGGAGGAGATCTAACAACACTTAAAAAAAAAATAAGATTAGATAAATCATTACAACTCCTCCCTGTTGCATATGACTCTCTACAAAAAGATTACCCTTAATATACTAGTGAACACATCTCAAACCCAATAAACACACAAAGCAACACAAAATTGATGTCTAACAAGAGCAACCAAACCAACAAAGAACTATAGCTAGGACATTGAAAAAGACTACCTAGCATCCTAGTTCTTGTCTAGCAAACCATCTAATGTATAGTGTACTATCACAACATCTAATTGAGTGTAGGGTTAAGTTGGAAGGCTGACATATGTTTTGACGAGGCCACCATCTTCGACTCCATCCTAATGATCCAAGGAGTCTAAGAGGCGTCACTAGATACAAGCTTTATGAAAAAAGTAAGTTTTAAAAGACTGAACTTATATACTATCTAAGCTAAGGATGCAATAATTTCAAAATAGATTTTGAAAGCATGATACATATAAGTAGCAAAAACATAAATTTTATACCTTTAAAATAGTTCCTAAGAAATCGAAAGTCTAAGTGACACCTATTAGACCCTTTGAAACATCCTCATGGGCAATACTAGCTGCCACATCTTGACCAGTAGAGGGTCTCTCAGCCCCAATTTCATCATCAAGACGATTGGAGAGCACATATAAATGCAACACGATCCAACATATTATGACAGTGTAGGGTGCTATCTCGAGATAGCAAACATTCATCAATTGTAAATGGTGGTGTATACCATTGATTAATGTGCCACAAGTGCAGTAATATACAACACAAGTGAGAGTGAGTGTGCCGAAGAGGCAGTGACACAGGCGTGAGTGTGTCGAGGAAGCAGTGACTCGGGGGTGAGTGTGCATAGGAGGCAGTGACTTGGAGAAGCCACATGAGTGTCAGAAGTGAGTGTGTGAAGAGCACAATATCCTAGAGTGGTGTCGTATAAAGTGAAAAAGAAACATGCAATTCTCATTAGAGAGAACTGCACACCAGATATGCTTGGTTGCAAGCCATCTGCTCGCATGATGTGTGAATGTGTGAGATAAGTGTGCGATGACACAAATCAGACTGGTGAAAGTCGATCAGTCGAACCGATCAAAGTGGGATCAGACCAGCGTGGGTAGCTGAAGGACAAGAAAGGATCGATCGAACCAATCAAATCGGTGGTGTTTTATCGGTCAAGTCGAAAAAGTGGTCAATCGGAATGGCGTGGGTGGTCAGTCGACGGGAAAAAGGCTCGGTCAAACTGATTGGACTAGTGGCGGTTGATCAATTGAGCCAACAAAAGTGATCAATCGGGCAGATGTGGGTTGCTAAATGACAAAAAAAAGGTTGATTGAAATAGTTGCAATCAATCTGCAAAGTAGAAAAAATAGGTCGATCAAAGCGGCATGAGCGACCTATCAACAACGCAAGAAAAAAATTAGAAATTTTTATGCACTTTTAAAATCATGTCATGTGCACAATCATATGAATGCCAAAACATGCATAACAAGAGGCACAATCAGTTTTGATGACGAAATCGAGCGCGATCTCAAAGGAATCTA